GATGTTTTATGATAGTTATTTTTCTATGTCCTTTCTTCAATGACTTTTTCCTATGACTTTTTCCGTCCACCATTTGTTCAAGGTCACGTGAATCAATCAGAGATAGATATTATCACATGAGGTAGGGTAAATGTGCAATGGACGTGCTTATGAACCTTGAACTTGCAGTTACATTTAATTATTTGTGTACAGATATTGGTCTAGAATAATTTATCAATTCGTTTAGTCTTGAAGATGTATTGATGTAGGGACTCCATTATGTTCTTGTTGACATTGTTGGTAGCTAGAGGTGTTCTTAATTTTCACAGTTTGGAGTGAGTGAGCGAGTGAGTTTAGTTTTAGGCTGCACTCAGCAATATTCCAGCTATATGGCGGCTGTCTGTAAATATTCGAGTCTGGACCAGACGATCCAGTGATCAACAAATTGAGCATCGATTTGAGCAGTTGGATGAGTGAGTTTAGTTTTAGGCTGCACTCAGCAATATTCCAACTATATGGCAGCGGTCTGTAAATAATCGAGCCTGGACCAGACAATCCAGTGATCAACAGCATGAGCATCGATCAGCGCAATTGGGAACCGATGACATGTGTCAACCAAGTCAGCAAGCCTGACCACCCGATCCCGTTAGTCGCCTCGTACGACAAGCATGGGTTACTGAAGATCAATTCTAACCCGGATCTTCACGGGTTCGGCGCAACCGGGAACCGATGACACGTGTCAACCAAGCCAGCGAGCCTGACCACCCGATCTCGTTAGTCGCCTCTTACGACAAGCATGGGTTACTGAAGATCAATTCTAACCCGGATCTTCACGGGTTCGGCACGACCGGGAACCGATGACACGTGTCAACCAAGCCAGCGAGCCTGACCACCCGATCCCGTTGGTCACCTCTTACGATAAGCATGGGTTATTGAAGGCCAATTCTAACCCGGACCTTCACGGGTTTCACAGTTTTGTCTTCTTGAGAGGGCACGTAAGTCTCACAACATTTGAAGTAAATTTAGATATACCAGGTTTATAATAGTAGGATACTTGTGTTTTTAAGTGATGGCTAAATTTGTGCCCAACCGCCACCGTATGAAGGGACCATGTAAGTCCTTCTAGGGTGGGTGGGGTGAAGGGGTGGTATGGGAGCATTGAGGGGGGCAAGGCAGGCTGAGCGAGTGTAGTAATTGAGGGGCTATGGGAAGCCTTGACCGTGGAGTTTGTTATGGTTGGTGCTGAGAGGCGGCGGGAGTCGGTGGTGGCTGGAGGCGCGCGGACCTCGGAGGAGACAGTAGTTGTTGGCAGGTAGAGTTGGTGTGAAATAATGAAGGAAAAGAGAGGCGCGCGGACCTCTGAGAAGACAGGTGGTTAGAGAGAGGTGAAGTTATAGATGGCTTGATAGTGAGCAGAAAGTGGATCGAGATTGCTAGGTTGAGAGGTGGGCGCGGACGTCGGAGAGGACAGTCACGCACATATGGTGAATTTGGAGTGACTACATACCTATCACATGTTTAAGTGGCATTTAGAAGGTGGTGTGATGAACCACAAGGAGAGTTCTATGGATATACACCTTCTTTAATATGATATGAGCGACGTTTCGGTGTAGCTACTAACACCGTTATCAAGCAAATGATATCATATAGAACTCTCCTTGCTGTACATACCTATCCGTGAAACAATTAAGTAACGAAACAATAGGCGAGAGCTTTCAATGCAACTGATAGCTCATGCGGGGAATTAATGACAGATGGTCGGATTGGGATGTGCTGATAGAAAGCCACTTTTAAGAGAACAAGAGTTGAAAATGGATTAAGTCAAATTAAGTCAAAATGAGTTGAAATTTGTGTCATGATGCTTATAAATATACACTCATTCATTTATAACCTCCAAAACATGAATTCTGATCGAAATTAAACATTCTCGCCCATGGGCCAACATATTTTTTCGCCCATGGGCGAGATTTTTAATATCGCTCTAAGTTAGTCGAATTAAGTCAAAATGGAGTTGAAATTTGTGACATGATGCTTATAAACATACACTCATTCATTTACAACCTTCAAAACATGGAAAAACATGTATTTTTGAGTAAAAGGAAATATTCTCGCCCATGGGCCAAAATGTTTTTCGCCCATGGGCGATGGGCGAGATTTTAATATCGCCCCAAGTTAGTCGAATTAAGTCAAAATGAGTTGAAATTTGTGTCATGATGCTTATAAACATACACTCATTCATTTACAACATCCAAAACATGGGAAAACATGTATTTTGAGTAAAAGTAAATATTCTCGCCCATGGGCCAACATATGTTTCGCCCATGGGCGAGATTTTTTAATATCGCTCTAAGTTAGTCGAATTAAGTCAAAATGAGTTGAAATTTGTGTCATGATGCTTATAAACATACACCCATTCATTTACAACCTCCAAAACATGAATTCTGATCGAAATGCTACATTCTCGCCCATGGGCCAACATATTTTTCGCCCATGGGCGAGATTTTTTAATATCGCCCTAAGTTAGTCGAATTAAGTCAAAATGAGTTGAAATTTGTTTCATGATACCCATAAGTATACACGCATTCATTTACAACATCCAAAACATGGAAAAACATGTATTTTGAGTAAAAGTCAATATTCTCGCCCATGGGCCAACATATTTTTGCCCATGGGCGAGATTTCTAAATATTGTTCTAAGTTAGTCGAATTAAGTCAAAATGAGTTGAAATTTGTGTCATGATGCTTATAAACATACACTCATTCATTTACAACCTCCAAAACATGGGAAAACATTATTTGAGTAAAATTAAACATTCTCGCCCATGGGCCAACATATGTTTTTCGCCCATGGGCGAGATTTTTTAATATCGCTCTAAGTTAGTCGAATTAAGTCAAAATGAGTTGAAATTTGTGACATGATGCTTATAAACATACACTCATTCATTTACAACCTTCAAAACATGGAAAACATGTATTTTGAGTAAAATTAAATATTCTCGCCCATGGGCCAAAATGTTTTTCGCCCATGGGCGAGATTTTTTAATATCGCTCTAAGTTAGTCAAATTAAGTCAAAATGAGTTGAAATTTGTGACATGATGCTTATAAACATACACTCATTCATTTACAACCTCCAAAACATGAATTCTGATCGAAATTAAACATTCTCGCCCATGGGCCAACATATTTTCGCCCATGGGCGAGATTTTGTAATATCGCTCTAAGTTAGTCGAATTAAGTCAAAAGGAGTTGAAATTTGTGACATGATGCTTATAAACATACACTCATTCATTTACAACATCCAAAACATGGAAAAACATGTATTTTGAGTAAAAGGAAATATTCTCGCCCATGGGCCAAAATGTTTTTCGCCCATGGGCGAGATTTTGTAATATCGCTCTAAGTTAGTCGAATTAAGTCAAAATGAGTTGAAATTTGTGTCATGATGCTTATAAACATACACTCATTCATTTACAACCTCCAAAACATGAATTCTGATCGAAATGCTAACATTCTCGCCCATGGGCCAACATATTTTTCGCCCATGGGCGAGATTTTTAATATCGCCCTAAGTTAGTCGAATTAAGTCAAAATGAGTTGAAATTTGTGTCATGATGCTTATAAACATACACGCATTCATTTACAACCTCCAAAACATGGAAAAACATGTATTTTGAGTAAAGTCAATATTCTCGCCCATGGGCCAACATATCTTTTTCGCCCATGGGCGAGATTTTAAATATTGCTCTAAGTTAGTCGAATTAAGTCAAAATGAGTTGAAATTTGTGTCATGATGCTTATAAACATACACCCATTCATTTACAACCTCCAAAACATGAATTCTGATCGAAAAAGTCTACATTCTCGCCCATGGGCCAACATATTTTTCGCCCATGGGCGAGATTTTTTAATATCGCCCTAAGTTAGTCGAATTAAGTCAAAATGAGTTGAAATTTGTTTCATGATACCCATAAGTATACACGCATTCATTTACAAAATCCAAAACATGGAAAAACATGTATTTTGAGTAAAAGTCAATATTCTCGCCCATGGGCCAACATATGTTTCGCCCATGGGCGAGATTTGTTAATATCGCTCTAAGTTAGTCGAATTAAGTCAAAATGAGTTGAAATTTGTGTCATGATGCTTATAAACATACACTCATTCATTTACAACCTCCAAAACATGAATTTCCATGAATTAAAACATTTTCATCGCCCATGGGCGAAATGTTTTTCGCCCATGGGCGAGATTTTTTAATATCGTTCTAAGTTAGTCGATTTAAGTCAAAAGGAGTTGAAATTTGTGACATGATGCTTATAAACATACACTCATTCATTTACAACCTTCAAAACATGGAAAAACATGTATTTTGAGTAAAAGTAAATATTCTCGCCCATGGGCCAACATATGTTTCGCCCATGGGCGAGATTTTTAATATCGCTCTAAGTTAGTCGAATTAAGTCAAAATGAGTTGAAATTTGTGTCATGATGCTTATAAACATACATTCATTCATTTATAACCTCCAAAACATGAATTCTGATCGAAATTAAACATTCTCGCCCATGGGCCAACATATTTTTCGCCCATGGGCGAGATTTTTAATATCGCTCTCATTTAATCGATTTAAGTCAATATGAGTTGAAATTTGTGACATGATGCTTATAAACATACACTCATTCATTTACAACCTCCAAAACATGAATTCTGATCGAAATTAAACATTCTCGCCCATGGGCCGGCCCATGGGCCATTGTTCGCCCATGGGCAGGCCCATGGGCGAGCGAGTTTAAATTTAAAGTTTTCGAAAAAAATTTTTTCATTTTTCATCCTTGGCATATGTTCATAACAACTGCATGTTTAATTTGGTCAAATCCCTTGTCAGAAAGTGCCCACAGTGCTTTAAATGAGTTTCTGGACTTTTATGAGTCCAGAATTAAATTGTGACGTGTTACTAAGGGTACAGGACTGTCTATCAAGATGCTTCAAGATGTGTTTTGTGGGACTAACTTTTTGTCCATCTTCCTCCTTCAGGTACTGAGACCTCCCGCTCCCTGCCCCGCTCCCTGCAGCGTCAACTCGAGGAGGAGAACCGCGCGTTACGAGATGAGAACACCTGCAAGGTCTGCCTGGACAGAACCAGTTGTGTTGTCTTCCTGCCGTGCGGCCATCTTGTGTCGTGTGCTGAGTGCGCACCTGCACTGAGCAAGTGTCCTATATGTAGAGCACATATACGTGGAACTGTGAGAACATATAACGCGTAATATGACTGTTAGTGAGATAAACTTTAACCAAACAAATGTAGTGATGTTTTGTCGTTACATTTTGTTAATTATTTTGAAGGAATAACATCATACAACTCAACATATTGTTGGTTAATATATAAATATATGTTTAACCGAAAGATGTCATGATCGAACACACGATAATTCTTCTTGGAGAGGCATTTAGAAGTGGGAGTAAGAAGGGTGGGTAACAATATACGGATGAACAACTTCTTTATTACTGTAAGAGCGACGTTCCGGTGTAGGTTCCAACACCGATATCAAGTATTTGGATATCATCATTTGCATGATAACGGTGTTAGAACCTACACCGAAACGTCTCTCTTACAGTAATAAAGAATTTATTTGTCCGTATATTGTTATCCACCCTCACGATGATTTTATCGTTAAAATTTAGAATCTCCGTCCTACCATTATTTGGCTGATGGCAGCACTGCAAATTGAAATCGTTACTTGAAAATGAATTTCTAGAGCGATTTCTGAGTAAATTTCCTGAAACCTGTTATGTGAAATATCGGGTGGGCGCCGTGTGTTTGATTATTCAAAAAGTATATTTTCCACAGGAAGTCCGTCGAACAACGACTGAAAGAGTGTGTTGTGGAATTCATTTTTAAAAACACAGCTCCACGTTTGGAGCCATTCTGTCGCATGTCGAAAAAGAAGGATCTAATTTGAATAAAATGTTAAATAAACAAGTAAAAAGTCTGCATTGTCGTATATATATATACTACCCATCAAAGGTTTAGCCTCGCTTAGATCAATCATTATATGTTATGTATGTACATATGGTTACAACGAAGATGAAACTTAGGGGAAACATCGCAAGCCTTATGCAGATTAATTGTACGAGGATCAAGCATCAAATTGCTGAAAAGCATGTGCAAATATCGTGTATGTGAACAGCTGCGTTTGGGTGTAAAGTGTTGATAAAATATCGCCATTTTTCACCGAGTTTCATCATTTATTGAACACATGACATTAAACTTTTCAACGTCACGAATTTGTTTTACAATACATCAGCTCATGTATAAACAGTACCTTTAAACTGTATGGATTATTTTACAAAATCTAGTTCCGAACAGTTGACTGAAGTAAGTGGCTACATGTACACTAGTGAGTCTAAACTTTTGATGGGTAGTATAGTTGTCTTCGCACAACATCACATGTTAGTCTGTGATTAAGGTCATGATACCTGTGATGTGTAACGAGATATACGGATGTTGTTCGATGGCTATCGTCGCTATACATCAATGTTTTAAAAAGCTTAGATCGGCTAGAATCCAGGAAACAGAATCTCTGGGCTCTCACATCTTCTGCAGATAGATCTTATTTTGGATATAGGTAACCTCGTCTATACATCCGTCTTGGGTACAGGTGTCTTCAACTACATATAGTTTTGATATACATGACTTCACATAAGTTTGATGGTACAAATATACAGACACACACACATTTCAGAAATATATGATATCAGTTATACTCACATTTCAGACATAGATGATATCGGCCATACACACATTTCAGACATAGATGATATCAGCAATACTCACATTTCAGCTATAGATGATATCGGGATAGACACTTTTCAGACATAGTTGATGTCGGCCACACACATTTCAGACATAGATGATATCGGCCATACACATATTTCAGACATATACTATATTGGCCACACACATTTCAGATACAGATGATGCAAGCTATATTCACATTTCAGACATAGATGATATCGGCAATACACATATTTCAGACATAGATGATATCGGCCATACACAAATTTGAGCCATAGATGATATCGTCCATACACACATTCCAGACATAGATGATATCGGCCATACACACATTCCAGACAAAGATGATATCGGCATTACACATATTTCAGACATAGACTACATTTAGACTGGAGGACAAGACTAGTATTGGAATTTCTTGGCCTATTCCTGAATACGCTAATGTAGAATAGAGTTATAGACAGTTATTGACGCTTTTCCTCAATATATATATGTCATAATAGAGTTCAATCTTCACCATGGATTTTTATATTGCTATAATCACTTTTTTTCATATTATATATTATTCACATTCGCAATGCCACTCTATTTTGTACTGCCGTTGTAATTTCTTTAATAATTCTTTTGTAAGATCTAGTGATCTGTATTGACTTTTAAACTGTCAACATACAGTTCATTTTAGAATACAATTGTTATTTGTGAAACATTTCTTTGTTGTTTGATGGTTTTTACAAAAAAAGACTCCGCGATTTGGCTACAATCTTTTGTTTCAACATTGAAAGCGACATTAAACAGGATATTAAGTGATGTATATAGATTAGATGGCATTGGCTGTATATCCAGTCTGGATACATATTACTTCGCTATATATGTGATTGCAAAGATGCACTAGCTGACAATAATAACATCCACAAAACGCAATGGTTCAGATTAAAACAATCTTTTTTTCAAATGACACAGACGCAAGTGTTTCCACTTATGCAGTGGCTATGTTGTCGGTAGACATAATCGAACTGATCCATGACTGAATGGAACTGATCCCATGTGTGACCAGCTCTACGACAATCACTCTTTCAGCATATTAATCAGGAACCGAACTGATGGATTAAGTGTGCAAAATAGTATCCAAATTTTGCTAGCCAGTCGGGCAAGCTATGCCTGAAAGTGACTATCCCACAAAATAATTCACTAGCTCGAAATTTGAACGTAGACGCTAAGAAAAATATTACAGAAAGGTAAAATATCATCATTTATCAGGCCATCATATTGCATGATTTAAAAGTGTAGTACAACTTAACAAGTCAGAGAGAGTGATATGTTTAAAAAATGAACCAATGGACTTCACTGGATATTTACTGGCCCGACTGGACTTTTACTAGCCATGGGGTAGCGGGCCAGAGGTTATTTCGCACACTGGATGCATCTGTAAAATCTGTGGAGTGGTTTCCTCTGACGCAAATACATCCGATGTTGAATACCGTAACAGTCCTTCAATTATTGTTCAGACATGAAACAATGACTTCCAATATTATCTGCAGTGGAACTGGGTTCTTGGTAAACAGAATCTGTTTAGAATTGTTCTACAATAATTCATTTATTCACCCTGGATGCCATACCTTTTCTGTTTTGTGTTCTAGGCACATTGTCAGAATATAAATCTGTTATGGAGTAAAACTCTTATGTGGAAATATGACAAAAGTAGAAAATCAGCATGAATTTCCATTTATTCACTAACGTATGACAGCAGTCCTACATGTCTATACAGAAGAAGGGTAAAGATGTAAAACTTATGTATTCTTACCTGCACAAATAAGGATTGGAGATCATAACAACACTCATTGTAATAAACTAGTTCTTTCCCATTTTACATGAATTCCCTAAGATTGTATTGCAGATAAAACTTAAAGGTCACATGCAACCAAAAAATCAAACATAATTAAAACACAATTATCACTTCTTCATGACATATAATATGCATTGCTGATTATGAAAAAACAAATAAACAAAATTATAAGCGTATAATCGCAAATCAAAAGTGCAATATTTTGTACTTAGGTTTACCTCCCTCGAAACGAAGCAGCCGGGATACCGAACCCAGTCAGAGCGGGTGGGTGTGCACTCAAGTGTAACGGCTGGTTCATTTGCAGATGCCGCCCTCGCAGCTCATTGTGTGTGTATATATAGAGAGATGTTGGGTTTTGTAAATACATGCTCATTTTTTGTGTATAACATTTTGCAATCAACAGACATCATAACATGTCATGTGTTCAAGTATCACACCTGCCTGTCTGTGCAATTACATAATGTGACAGAGACCGAACTCGGGTCATAAATCAATGCATTTTGTTTATGGTGTATAGCCTGATTGGTGGTTAAGTTCAAATTGCATGTGGTCAGTGATAGCAGCTATGTATTGAATATTGTCATTAGCAGACAGCCAGGCAGACATATAGGTGTCAATAAAACAAGACATTGAGTTTTGTCTGTGACAACGACATATCTATGTCACAGTTAGACATTCTGTCTGTGACCTTTAATAAAAGCCAGATTTAGTCCCTTCTCTATCAGTAGTGTGTATGGCAGCTCTTATGGAGTACTAGAAGTATGTTATGAAGGCATGCCAACGCCATGGATTGATTGAAACATTCTTCAATACATATGCATCATATATAACCATTTCATCATAGGCCTAAGAGCTGTGATGGTGGAACTGACGAATACAGTTTGTGCTTGACACACTGAGATATTTGTAACATTGATTTGCTCGCAAAGTCTGGTAAAACCAAGATGTCAAAATATATTTTTATTCAGTACTGAAGTTTTTCTACAAATCTCAGCAAAACGTTTCTTCTGTTTCCGATATGCGAATTTTCTCGGTTTGTGGTTCTACGGCTGAAATCGGATCTTACCATCCGCAAAACGGTAGACTGTTTAACGTCAGGTTGACCGCTAGACGCCCGATGAAAATTGATGAACATTATAAAATATAAATATATATGTGGAATGTTTTCAGTGTTATACCCAAACTTTACTTACAAAGGCATCTATTTCTGCTTTTTTCGACTGATGAGCACTATTTGCCACGATTAGTCAACGGATTAACTATAAAACCTTTTCACCACCTCACCACCAGGTATGCCTCATAGCGCTAACAATCAATAAGGCATTATTGAAGTCCATAGAACGTTTTGTAAAGAAAGGTTTTGAGATGACACTTAAAATTTTCAAGGGTTGGAGACAGCTTAAGTTCATCAGGGAGGCAATTCAATTTGACTGATGCCATGTTCTGGTAAGACTTGCAGCCAAGTGATTTGAGGTTCCACTTTAGTACACAGAGCAGATTAGCCGAGGATGAACGCAGAGTTCTTGTTGGCATGTAAGGAGAGACAGATCCAGAATCTGTTTCTTCATGGATAGGTCAGGTTGGAGTAGGACGCCAAGATTTTTGACATGTAGAGAAGGCTGAATGACCTTGTTTCCAACTTTCAACTCAACATGTTGTGATTTTACTAACATGTTTCTTGTTCCAACAATCATACCCTCTGTCTTGTATTCATTTAATTTTAGTTCGAAAATCCACGATCCAATATGAATCTTCAATTCTGGTAAGTTTAAAACTGTTGTCTCGAAACAAGGAACATTTTAAATTGTTTTTTGTTTTTTTTGTCGTTTTTATAAAGAACCAAAACCATAACATAGGCGTCTTATTGATCTTCAATACCCATTCTCCAAAACCTCAAGACACTAAGGGTACTTACTATTACAGCTAAATTGTATATAAATCTTAATGCAAATGTAGGTAATCCCATTACACAAAACTGCAGTAACTTCTGTGTGATATCGAGTTTACAGTGGTAAACCAAAGGATACCTATAGCCCTAAAAAGTGTTGCTGCCTATGTCGAGAAGAGTCGGCGTCGTACTGCGACAACAGCAACAGATGGGGAAACAGACGCTTCCAACTGAAACATACACATTGCATGAAGCTAGTTACTGAATGAATTCGGCATCGTTATGATTGTAGTTAGCATAAACGCAGTAATGTCCAAAGTATCGGTCCAGGGCCTAGATTTTCGAAGCTCTCTTAGTGCTAAGATAGTCGTAAGTTAATGTTAAAATGTATGGCACTTACGACTATCTTAGCGCTAAGAGAACTTCGAAAGTCTAGGCCATGATCAGTTAGCCATGCATACCGAGCATGGTAATACTACGTAGTTTATACAGTCACTAGGACGTTAATGACGACACTATGGTTAAAACTAACCTCACGCCTGGACCGTCTTCCCAGCATCCTCCAGACATGGCTGCAGTTCCGGTACAGATCAGCATGCTTGTAAGCTGGATCTTCACCCGGCACAAGTCTCAACGACTGCCCACACTGATAGCACGTGACGGTTCCTGACGCTGTGTAACATATGACACAGGTCTCTAAAGGTTTCCAGTGCTCACGAGCATGTAAATGCGCACGTTTCTTTCTTCACTGATAACCATAACATGACTGCAGAACCATTTTTAATTAAATTAATAATTTATATGTAGATGATGTAGTGGCTAATGGTTATGATTATTACGTATATGTTCTTAGCTCGTTTCCGTTCTTTTTGTAAATGAGGGGCGGTGGGGTAGCCTAGTGGTTAAAGCGTTGGCTAGTCACGCCGAAGACCCGGGTTCGAATCCCCACATGGGTAAAATGTGTGAAGCCTATTTCTGGTGTTCCCCGCCGTGATATTGCTGGAATATTGCTAAAAGCGGCGTAAAACTAAACTAACTCACTCACTTTTGTAAATGAGCTCATATTACAAATCCAGTTATGTATCGTCCTACCTCATCAGTGCATTCGTTGACATACTAATTGTATTCCAAAACAATGGTTGTCAAAAATAGCAGATTAAAAGTCTATTCATATGTAAGAACCGGCATGTTTTACATCTTTTGTCATTATTTGCTTGCTTGTGAATTTAGCTGAAATGATGTAGCGTAGTTGTTGCAAAGAGACATAAACGTTGCACTGACCCGACCGGAACAAGCCACTCTCTGCCAGGGACTGTGGGGAATGTCCTCTGACTGGAGTCCCACCATAAGACTCCCGTCTCCGGAGAGCGTCCTTGTACTCCGAGTGCTTAGCTTCCCCTCGCCCTTGGAACAAGCACATCTCACATCTGTCCTGGAGGGACAGACGATCCGGATCTTCTTGCAGGTCTTGGACATTCAAATCCTTCAGAATATCTGGGATGTTTTGAATGTCCTCAGTGGTATAATGACCAGTCTTCATGGTCTTCATAGGCTTCATAGTCAATCATGTCACTCCAGGGCACGTAGTATTGTCTCCTCAGAACCCTCTCCTGAAGTCAGTAGAGTGAGGTCAAATTAGTCAAATTAGACTCAGATTTAACGTGCTAAACCACTTTCCATATTTATCCAGCCATAGAACTTTTATTAGCTTTTCATCACGTATTTATTTAGGACCGAAATATACCCCATATCTGTGCATGATTTGACATCTTAATTATCAAAAAACGAGTGTCCTTGCATTCACTCGTTAGTACATAAATATTTTTCCCAACCACGGTAGGTTTGAGTATTACTTATGATATCAATGAGTAACTTCTTGTTTCTTTTGTGTTGCCGCGAATACCTAGAAACTTGCTGATGCAGCGTAAAACAATATTCATTCGTTGGGTAGCATGGAATGGCACAGTTGTATGTTTAATCAAACAATAATCACTGTAACCAATAACCATTGCAAAGCAGTATATATGACATCATGATGAACCTCTTCACTTCATCAGTGAAACATACTCATTTAAAATGGTTTGTGTTTTCTTCGTCACGTGTGCAGTAAACATTTATTTCTGGGTCCGCAATAATGTGTTCATTAAAAGAATATGTCAGATTAACAAAGACAAACAAATGCTTTAAATACGTTGAATACTGTTATGGTACGTGCACACGTGTACATACGCAACAGTAGCAGTACTGTACGAGACATTTCTGTGAGGCGTATATATATAAATATTAATAAATAGAATCGACCTGGAGGTTGTCCAGAGTTGCGTTCCCTGGCACACCAGAAACCTATGTTTGGGGGCTCGACTCTCCTTTCACTACGATCATGTGTCTAGGTTTGCCTGCTCCATACCGTTCTTATGGATTTCACCGACGTGGGTTACGTCTGAGACCTGCCTCAGTTTTCCTCCCATCTTGATCTGACACACTGTGATATTAACGGAATACTGTTCAAAACTATCTCATCCACTCATGAAGCAATGGTTGTTCATTTGTACACAATGCTTCAGATGCATATGCCTCAGTCATTGATTGTATATAATGCACTAGAAGATTACAGACAGGAAATGTAGTGTGATACTAATCAGTTTCCTTATATTTTCGTAGATTATGTTTTTAGCTATAAAACCATGAAACCTACTGATGTAATATACATACCAGGAAATTATCTGCTTAGCCATTCTCAGTCAAACCCATGGCCAGTACTCAAGAAAATATCTATATCAATACTCGCGTTCAACACTTCACAGACGCTATGACCTCTTTGATTGGCATTCTAGAAGTTGGGTAGATGAAGAATGAGGACTATTATGGATACAGTGTATCCAGCAGCTTCTTTATCCTGTATAGGCGACGTTTCGACATAGATTCTAATGAATCAAATGTACAGAATAAAGAATTAAGTTGTGTATCCATAAAAATAGTCCTCATTCTTCACATACGCTGCGACCGCCTCCGTGGTGTAGTGGTTAGAGCGTCCTCCCGGAGAGCGGAAGGTCGCGGGTTCGATCCCCGACCGCGTCATACCAAAAGATGTTAAAATATGGTACTTGTTGATCCCTGCCTGGCGCTCGGCATTAATGGGTACAACAAGGACTGGTCGGCTCGGAGTCAGTATTCATGCTTCACTGCGGCATGGTTTCTCAGAGGGCTAGCACTATAAAACCAGCTTAAGTCTGGGCTAGTACAAGCAGCCGCACATACACATACACACGCATGCACGTCGTCATATAAGCGAAATATTCTCAAGCACGACGTTAAACCCAATTCACCTCACCTCACCTCACATACGCTGCAATGCATTCTATACACTAAATCTCCGTGTGCCCATCCTGCAGTAGCAATGACCCAATAAAGGAGTCAATAGTTAGGGTTATTTCATTAATTCTTTGTTTACCCTAGCAATGAGAGAGGATAGGTGTTCTGAAAGGGCTATATGGCCCACCCTCAAATACAACTACTGGTTGGAATTAACATGACGTGAAGTATATTCCCGTGAGTATCAGATGTGTCTAGTCGAGATCGGATTGAGTTTTCTTGTATGATGTTGTGAAATACCCTACTGCATCACTATGTGATACGATCCGAACTTTGGCTACTCCATAAATTTATTTTACCTCACTTCAGGTTTCGCTTTGACTTCCCACTATTGGAGACTTGAAATCCAAGTCAGGGGTGTAATTTGCCCTACATGTGAGATGAACACATTGTCAAAGCACAGACTGGTGACTACACCTCGCTGCCACAGTGAGTAGAGGACCATGTTGTGGAAACTTTGTTTCTGGTTTTAAAGAATGTCTTTGTGAATATAGATGGTTTTGTTGGTGTATTGACTGGTACACCGGGATTTAAGGTAGAATGATTTTATATACATCCTTCATCGCTATCATATCAAAGTATATATATTAGCAGCTGTCATTCCAGGGGGGATCCAGGATTTGCACATAAATCGTGAAGTCCCCCAACTCCCCCTGGATCCGCCCCTGCCAGGCGCTCGTGTTTTGTGTCAGGTTAATAGATCGATGAGTAATGTGATAGGCGACAGTGAGATAGCAGGTGCACTCCATACTAACAATGGATCTGCAAGTTACATACTTGTACTTACCTCTGTTTTTTTATCCTAAACTGACCGGCGCCATTCAGTCTGTCTTGAGACGAAGTATCGTAATCTAACAGCGCAGTAACAAACAACTTACAATAGCAGGATGACGCGATACAGGCACACCTTCACTACTAATATCTCGTCTTACCGCCTCTATATCCAGTAAACATCAGCACTTGCTACTGTGAGGACGTTCATAGTCAGCGTTGCATAAAGTAATCGATACCAGGTAGCCCCATTGTGATATATGATTTTAAGTCTGCCTGTTTGCGCGACTCTTATCTGAAATGGTTGTAAAAGGCTTTCCTATGAAACTTGTAAAGATTGGGAAGTCCGATTTCTATTTTTAGATCCTTTCACAACTGTAGAACAGGCTGTGATATTGTGTGACCGACGAACACAACCACGTGGCCGGTCTGTAAATCACAATATGTTCATACAACGTGGAAACGTCTTCATTATATTCAATAACTGTAATTAGTGTGTCGTATATGACAGTAGTAATGTATACAAGAAACAGATGAATAAAGTATGATTCTTTCGTGACGGGCCTATGTATATATATTTCGCCATAGTATCGCGCATTTCAAACAAAGGATAGTTCTGGATTAATCGGGTGTACTGTATTGCTATGTATTGGGTTTATATGTACAAATTCACATTTTCGATTTTGACAATATTATATTTTCACGGATGATTGTTATAGATAATTTTTTATCGAGGGGTAATTATATCTCTGAATACTCAGGAAAAGTCATCATTATTCAATATTGAGAGGCATCCTGGAGTCTAGTGAGTTGCCGGTATTATCAAAATTGTTAATGCTGATTATTTTACAGAATGGTATCATGTATTTGAAACCACCTAATGTAAGATTATACCCCAAACACTATGATTAATTTTAGATATTGTATGAAGTGATGTTATTCCCTATTCAGGACACAAGGACGTATGTGCAGTTTCGTCATGAATCCAGTCAGTAACGATTTACAAGCAACGTCATCAACTACAACAGCTGCGGTAGGTGAAGTATTCGTGGCCTGTATTTGCATCAGTGTCTGTCAGTCGGCAAATACCACATACATGCAGTTCTTTTTGAAAATATTAATTATGAAATTCATCACCATGGCAACACGTTTGGGTGACAGGGGATATAGAAGTGTACTCAAGCCAGAAAGGAATGGGACACAAAGCACGAGTTGCTTCCTTCTGTTAGTTATGATGTGTAGTGTACTCTAGGTATATTCCTTCATATATGAATATGCATTTTAAAATGATGTGATGGACTCCGTAATACTTGTGTTTTTCCATTGAATATCGGGGCGGTGGGGTAGCCTAATGGTTAAAGCGTTGGCTCTTCACGCCGACGACCCGGGTTCGAATCCCCACATGGGCACAATGTGTGAAGCCCATTTCTGGTGTCCCCCGCCGTGATATTGCTGGAATATTGCTTAAAGCGGCGTAAAACCAAACTCAGTCAGTCAGTCCATTGAATATCAGATATGTACTGGTAAGTGCAAGATGCCCGTGAACATAAGAGAGGACGGCTGTTCAAACATCATATATCATCCACTCTCAAATACAATCACTGGTTGGGTTGTAGCATGACTTTACGTACATTCCCATAAGTGCCAGGTGTGTCTTGTCAAAACCGCATTGTGTTTTCTAGAGTGATGTAAGTTACCCTACACGAGATACGAATACATTATTGCCAAAGCACTGACTATATCGCGCTGCATTTTTAAATGATATCCTTTGATACACGTGAAAGACTTACTTTGAAGCATCGTCATTCTAATACAGACAGGGGCGGTGGGGTAGCCTAGTGGTTATAAAGCGTTCGCTCGTCACACCGAAGACCCGGGTTCGATTCCCTACGTGGGTCCAATGTGTAAAGGTCATTTCTGGTGTCCCCCGCCGTGATATTGCTGGAATATTGCTAAAAGAGGCTTAAAACCAAACTCACTCAATCAATCACTCACTCTAATACAGACATCCTAGTAGGAAGTACATTAAGAGATCAGTTGAGACAGATGGTCAAAGACAATATAAAGATGCATTGTTGGTCTATTTCAAATCCAGCCCGAGTATCTATCAGTTCCTGAAGTGCCCTTCACAACATCACTGACGACCTATCTGGGGAAGGTACAGGAGACGGGACAGGTGCCCGTAGAGGAGGAGATGTGTTACGAGGTACGGAGACTGCAGTCTTTTTCTGGGATCCCCGTCCAGGCCTCGCCCATGAGGCTTGCCCAGTCAGGATTCTATGCTACAGGTCGCGAGGACGAGGCTCGCTGCTACAGCTGTAGGAAGTCACACACAGGCTGGCAAATAATGGACAGACCGGATGTTCTACACAGAGTTATTTCCCCTGACTGCCCACATCTAAACAGAGGCGACCCACGAAATATACCGCTGACTTCAAATTCGAATGCAACAACGGTGTACGGTATCCTTGGGGAGTACTCTGGAAGCAGCAATGTAACAACAACAGATACATTACCACCTACAGCTACAGAGACACCAACTCTAGGAACAGCAGCAGAAGAAGCAGCAGCAGCAGAAGTAGCACCTGCCGTGTCTGAACCATCCCTCGACATGAACAGTGCTGTGCATCCTCATTACAGAAACATGCAGACCAGATTAGACAGCTTCAGAGGCTGGGACACGTCGCACGTTCAGGACCCGCGGGTACTGGCGACAGCAGGCTTCTACTATGCAGGTAGGGACCAGGGATATATGCTGCATGGTAGATCAGATAAACAACCACGGATCAGCCATATAGTGGCAGGGGTGAACTATGTCCATGTAATGATTAGAACTAAACGATTAAGTAAAATGTTTGAGAATTTATTTTTCAATTATTTTCATTTGTGATCTATTTTCACTATTTTATCAGTGAATCCTGCATGTAAGCCAAACTATCTATCATTCAGATACATTATTTCAAGTTTACCTCTTCTTTCACTGGTCTTTCTGCGATTAGGGCAACCAGATTGTGTGTAATATATCGGACACGGTAACCTGCTTGTGTAGGTGTTGCAGAGGTGTACCATAGTCAAGAACAAACCTTAATTGCAGGTTACTCCGACTGTGTCCGGTGTTTCTACTGTGGTGTTGGTCTGAAGACGTGGGAAGAGAGGGATGACCCTTTTGTGGAGCACGTGCGCTGGAGGTCGTCCTGCAGCTACATCAGCAAATTGAAAGGAGAGAACTTTGTCATACAGGCACTTGCCAAAATCGTAAGGATATTTCTATGTGAAGGAGGGTATGATTTGTCAAATTTCTTTGGGCAAGGAACCGTTGGCCTTTTGTTGAAGCCAGGTATGTTTGTCCATTCGCATCATGTCCATGGTCCCTATTTTCATTAAAGTGGAAGTGTCAACGATCTGCTCAACTTTGGGTTAACACAACTTTGGGTTAACACCTACATTAGAAAACTGAAACAATGTGATCTTTTTCTAACTGATTTGTTCTCTTTCAGAAATAACTGTTTAGACCTTCATGATGTGTCAGTTCATTGTATGTTGGGGTTTCCGTTTAAGGGATCCTCCCAGCCTGCAGTGAACAATACCTACAGCAGTTACACAGCCACTCCTGCACAAGGATCTCGTGAGTCTACAGTGAACAATACCCACAGCAGTTACCAACCCACTACATCGCGAAGTATGTATGTTACGTTGACAAGAATTTCACACAATATCACGTAAAATATCACTATTGGTTATGTGTGTTGTAGACAGTAAAATATGTAAGAAATATTTGATCACATATTTTATAGCATTCTGTGCTCACGTATGTTGAGACAATACAGAATACATACTGCCATCTCTCTGTATGGTCCCTTCCGTGACAATAACAGATACGTCATGATTAATTAGATTGTGAAAAGGAAACTATCATGAATATTCCATATACGATTTAGTATAATTACCAATAAATCTAGATAAAATGTCGTTTGATTTTCACTTTTATCAGGAAAGGTATAAACTCACTCCCAAAGAATTTATATGTAGGGTGTAAGAAACTAAACGATCTTTCTGTAAAGGCTACAATATCACATTCCATATATATGCACATATGTTTTTTAATTTATAAGTTACAAAACATATGTTTTACATTTTGTGTAAATTTGACATTTTGCGTAATTTTCATGGTTCTCTTTATGCAGCCATTTCGGAATTGTTATGATAACATAATCAGCAAATATATGTGTCTCTCCAACCTAATGGAAAACAAGGAGACCATTCACTCATACCATGTTATACCCTGTTCAGACATGGCTGTCGTGGCGAGGGCGGTGGAGATGGGGTTCTCCCGGCAGATGGTGGAGAAGGCGGTGATGGAGATGTCCAACTCGTACAACAATCCCCGTGCTGCAGGAGACAGGTAGGGGAGCAGCACCAGGGGTAGCAGTGCATCTCTCAAGACTTGCAACTGGAATCTGATTGTACTGCAAAGCCTGGATATGACTGACGAAGTACTAACGACGAGTAACAATGACACTGATGCAAGCATGGCTTGTAGTTATGTAATGTAGCTTGATGTTGTTGGGGTATTTCAAGACAAGGTAAACTGCCCCGTAAAACGGGTGTTGGAGCAGCTACATGCTGCAAGAAACTCTGATCACATTCACTGTAATAACATTTCCTGGAATAGATGATGATCTGTATTATTGACATCTTGCTTCATCCATTAAGTACTTATGAATAGTGTATGTTTATTGTATGTTTGTGACCACGGTTGTGTTTTCGATAAAGTAATAACATCATAAGCAATCCTCAGGTGTCCCTTCCATTACACAGTACCATGGCCTTAAGGACGTTGCTTCAATCTTTTGTTCTTTGTGAAGTCCAGCATCCTCTTCGATTAGAAGCCTTGATTGAACGACTGGTCATGACATCTGAGGTAACAGATGATGAGCACCGGAATTCAGATATCTCCGAGGAGAAGCCGCAGATATCAGACATACCCGAGGTGAAGCCACAGATATCAGACATACCCGAGGAGACGCCTCAGATATCAGACATACCCGAGGAGACGCCTTATGTCAGACATACCCGAGGTGAAGCCGCAGATGTCAGACATATCCGAGGTGAAGCTGCAAATATCAGACTTACCCGAGGTGAAGCCGCAGATGTCTGAGGTCCTAAACGAGAGACATCGCATGTTTGAGGTCCCTAATCAGGGACAAGAGAGATCTGAAGTTCCCCAATCTCTCCCAGCAAGACTGGCGCCGCCGAGTGACACCTCTACAAGTCATCTAACGTCCATGACGACACCGAGTGTGTCATATACACGACGTCCACGTGAATATCCACCGGGTATGGATTCACAAATTCTACTCTGTTTGAAGTACGCTCTCTTATCGATACAGTTTCTAGGGTCAGAAATGTCAGAAGTGTCCACTCTTACAATTTATAGTCTAAGCTTACACCAGCAGAAACCATAATGCCTGTTATATGATACTAATCTCAAAATACAAACAATGCTTCGAAACATGTTTGTAGAGTGAAACATTCATCATTTGTCCAGATCATAACATGTCTATAGGATGTAGTAGTGTCAATCGCCTGTAATGAAAATGTGTGTTTTGTGGGACTGACTTTTTGTCCATCTTCCTCCTTCAGGTACTGAGACCTCCCGCTCCCTGCCCCCTTCCCTGCAGCGTCAACTCGAGGAGGAGAACCGCGCGTTACGAGATGAGAACACCTGCAAGGTCTGCCTGGACAGAACCAGTTGTGTTGTCTTCCTACCGTGCGGCCATCTTGTCACGTGTGCTGAGTGCGCACCTGCACTGAGCAAGTGTCCTATATGTAGAGCACATATACGTGGAACTGTGAGAACATATAACGCCTAATGTATACAAGACCAAAACTCCCCCCGTATCTAGTGTAATTGATTTATGTATGCTTATAATTGTCTCAGTTATTTTGTCATTAAGGCCATTTTGGATTCTGTTTCGTCGGATAATCGAAACTGATTACTCTCTGACTATGACGTTTAATATTTACGTGGGTTAATTACTAACAGTTACCTTACATACACATGCTTTTAACAAATAACTTCAGATGTAAGATGCCAAAGTCAGAGAATAACCATGCTCGGTCATACTCTTGGGCATATGTTTGTTTCACAACTAAAGACGGCCATGCAGCAATGAACAGCCGATCGGCAAAATAATCTGATATACAATGTATGTTCTCTTTACCGGATCGGTTGCTGGTCCCGCTGTGATTGTTTATTTCACTCACAAGACTCCAGCACAGGAACCAGCAGGATCATGTAATATTTCAGAAAATATCACAATATTTATGCTTACAAACCATTACATCATTGTTATAGTTTTCCCAGACTGTAACACAGATTTCAGGACGGGCCCCTTGGGAGCTGCATTCGTCGCCTTACATGCGCATGCTGCATGTCGTTGTATAGCTGGATCACTACTTACATATGTTTCACTTGGACAGTATTGTTGATCTACGTTTATTTGGAGTTTTTCCGATCATGTTGTTCAATGTGTTGCTGGTGATCTAAAGCTCGTATTTCAAAAGTATTGAAAGTAATAGTGAATCAGATATATCTGCTTAAGTATTTGAAAATGTTCGCGTTTTGATTCTGTGTGTGACATCTTGGTGACAGCCTTTTAAAATATATTGTCAATGTAACTGTTCTCGTCACTATAGACCAGGAACTCGGCCGAGTTATTGTAACCTGCTCATTATTATAGAGTGACAAAACCAAACCCAGATTGCCAAATGGATGTTTATTATACAAGAATGGTATGGATGTTATAGTAATGTGTCCTGCACGCAATGTTATGTGTCTGAGCAATAAAAAGCATTAGAAATATTGTTCATGTTGTTAAATTACTGTGTCTGGTGTATCTGTTTGGAGGATTATACCAGCAGGCAAATGTCCAAACTCCTCTCACAGTAGTTTAAGGACAAATTGGGATTTCAAATTAGGTTTAGTCTCCTGCTGATAATGAGGCAGTTGACAATACGAGAGGTCACCATAACCGGCTTCTTATTACTTATGTCCAAGTTTTCTATAATATACACTCATATATTCTCATCTCGGACCCAATTCTGTCAAATCCTGATGGACATCGAACACTTGGAATCATCAAATATTGATATTGATACATGAAAGGATGTGCCCAGATATGGTCGGAATCGAACAATGGGTATTCGTTTCTGTGGAATTGTTTCAGTAGAAAAATAATATTATTGTAATAGTAATAGTAATAGTCCGCTTATATGGCGCTCATATCCAGGCACATTGCCTGCTCACGGCGCTACGTACATTACTATCCCCGGTCATAGGACACTATCGTACTTTCCGATACGTTTTCAACTCCCTGGGGATCATACAGCCATGCTGCCTGTTAGGCGCAATGAACTTAACACTCACATTGTGAAAAACAATTTGTCATGTTTAATTGTAAAAAGGGATTAAATGAATATTAGTAAGTGACAAGATATTACAAATATCGAACAAAGACGTTTGTATCTTATCTCAGTATTCCCTTGCATCACTCACTTAATGTCTAAGTTTAACTGTGACACACATGCCTATGTATTCAGCGTTATATACATGGACTTCCATTATCTATGACATCGTCATTGCAGAAAGTATTAAAACACATTTCATCATATGCTTTTACACGTGACATTTGACATATGGCAGTCTCTTGGCAAGGACGCTCTTTTAAGATATGGTTAGTCAGACTTTTGGTAAGTGTGTTACTCACTTGATGTGACTTCGATCGATACACATGATCGATCTCCCACTGTTTAATTTTGATCTCACACTGTCACACTCCGCACCGCTGTCCCAGCTCACTGACGGCGGTCTGTCGCTACTCAAATCCAAAATCAAGTGATCGATGTTGATTTCAACAACGGCTCCCTTCCTCAGCGGATCAGGAACACGCTATCTACCAAGTCCCGCCCACACCTTTTCATATTTTATCGCTGTTACGGCGGGGCTGAGTTGGCGGGCGATTATTCTAACCCGGTAACCCAACTGAGTGAGGAAAATGAAATGAACACCACTTCAACAATTGATCTATTGCCGTTGCTTATCTAACCATACTGTGTGCGGTAAAGTGGCATGTTTATTTCTGTCTGCTCATTCCCGTCAACCGTTCAATAAACGTCAAAACTTACATAACATGGAAGATACATAGATAGATAATACGGAGGACAGACAGTCACACATCATTTTGTGGATGTATTACAAACTGATCTGTCGTCCGTATTATCTATTTTAGCTATGAATGATAATCGCATTGTTTGATTAAACTGACGATAAAGTTGTTATTGTGCAGTTCAGAGCCGCTATCTCGGCAGGACTATGTCATTTAGCTTGACCGAAGGACTGACGATAAATGTGTATAATGGATGACCAGTTGTTTCTCTAATCACCAGGTTCTGTGTTCTTTTGTGGGTTGGTTGTACATATCGGTACCTCTGCCAAGTAAGCTGATTCCCCAATCCTCGACTTTATATTTTCAAGGCGAAAAGTTCAGCGTGGATATGCCAAGTTCACTCGAGTTATCGGATATAGCGTCTGTTGTCCCTGCATGGCGGCAGAAATACCTCATTATACCGCGAATATTCCCCGTGTACACAAAGGTATCGATATATTCGATTGCGTATATTTCCAAACATACATTCTTCAGGGAAATGATTATATTTACCTTCACTTTCCTAGAAAGAAGTTTGATTTCGGTCGATGAACGAGTGTGTGAGCCGGAATTCTGTTCTGTCTGTCGCCATTCACAGCTTTTATATCACTCGTAATGTTACAAAAATAGTCTGCCTGGTAATTCCAGGTTAATCTATATATGGTAAGGGGATTCCCCTGAAGGTAACTGGATACAGTATATAAGTTTCACAGCAAAGGGCGAAACTCAACATCAGGACGATGGTATTTCTCTTTAAGTACATTTCTACAAATGACAGTACCTTTAATAATTATTACAAATATACCAAGATGAAATTTATTGACGAATTTGAATTTGGTGTGCAAGTATGGCGTATTCAGTAATAAGTTAATGCATTATTCCACTGTATTAATGTAGTAGTCAACAAATTGCAGTGGGAAGGAAGTATAGAATATTGTAGAAGTTCAACCTGACAATCTTTTAATGCTTCTTCAAATGTACTACCGCCTTGTTCTGGTCATACCTGTGTTCAAATTTACAGGCATGGACTTAATATCTCTCACACACACACACACACAGAGAGAGAGAGAGAGAGAGAGAGAGAGAGAGAGAGAGAGAGAGACAGACACACACACACACACACACACACACACACACACACACACACACACACACACACACACACACACACACCTCCTCTAATGCTTAATTGCCTTTCTCAGACATGTTTGGCATCATAACGTGTGATGAAACCAGACATTAAATACCAGCTTCATCTCAGATAGGAAAGCAATACAGTCACCACTCTCACACAGGACACAGACACCTACAAGCTAACTAACTGACAATCTCATACCGTCCTCACAATGGCACCATGTTCAACATCATGCCAAGGCTGTTTGTCACACCGTGGGTAGTTGGGCAAATCAGGGTACTATTCTGCATTCACTGTTCTAAACATTACGCCATATCTATTTATAGTCGGTTTTCCCATGCACATGCATTAACGTGTTTGGCGAATATAGACGGGACATAACACGGTGTATTCGTCGTCATCGTCAGTCTGCAGTGTGTTGTGAGACAGTTTCGACTTGTGTTATATACAATCATTGCAAGGAAGGTAACCATGTCAGAACACACAGTGCTCGGTAAGTGTTATATACGATCATTACAAGGAGGGTAACCATGTCAGAACACACAGTGCTCGGTAAGTGCTATATACAATCATTACAAGGAGGGTAACCATGTCAGAACACACAGTGCTCGGTAAGTCCTATATACAATCATTACAAGGAGGGTAACCATGTCAGAACACACAGTGCTCGGTAAGTGCTATATACAATATACCATGTCAGAACACACAGTGCTCGGTAAGTCCTATATACAATCATTACAAGGAGGGTAACCATGTCAGAACACACAGTGCTCGGTAAGTGCTATATACAATCATTACAAGGAGGGTAACCATGTCAGAACACACAGTGCTCGGTAAGTGTTATATACAATCATTACAAGGAAGGTAACCATGTCAGAACACACAGTGCTCGGTAAGTCCTATATACAATCATTACAAGGAAGGTAACCATGTCAGAACACACAGTGCTCGGTAAGTCCTATATACAATCATTACAAGGAAGGTAACCATGTCAGAACACACAGTGCTCGGTAAGTGTTATATACAATCATTACAAGGAGGGTAACTATGTCAGAACACACAGTGCTCGGTAAGTGTTATATACAATCATTACAAGGAAGGTAACCATGTCATAACACACAGTCCTATATACGCCGCTGTTGGTGGTCACGATGTATATGATCTTTACACAAGCAGAACGAATGGTACATGATAGTGATTGAGTGAATTTAGTTTTACGTCGCTTTTAGCAATATTCGTGTCTAGCAATATCACGGCGGGGGACACCAAAAATGGGCTTCACACATAGCACCCATGAGGGGAATCGAACCCAGGCCTTCGGCGTAACCACTAGGCTACCCCACCGCCCGGTACATGATAGATACATCAATGATACACGTATACAACAAAAATAGTTATCTCTTCATCTAATGATGCTCCGGGCTGATCATTGTTTTAAGTGAGTATTTCCTATTTGTCTCCCAGCCCAGGAGTCCGTGAGTCCACTGCCAAACCCCAGCAGCACCAGGTTCAGGAGACCACAGGGCTACAAGATGAAGGCCTCTGCAAGGTCTGTTTGGAGAAGACCAGTTGCGTCCTGTTTCTACCGTGTGCTCATCTAGTCACGTGCATGGAGTGCGCACCTGCTTTGCGCAAATGTCACGTGTGTCGGGCATTCATACGTGGAACTGTGAGAGTTTACATTGAATGAGAAGTTGTTGTGAATCTTGAACAAGTCTCATTAAAACTGACTCACAAAAACGTTATTGCAGAACTTTTGCGTGAATCCTTTAGCATATGTATTTGAAACTACGCTATTTAACCAACTACTGTTCGTGTATTAAACTTAAGGTTCATCAAAGTATTTTTTGTGCATTTAATTCAAAATAAAATGAATGTCTTCAGTGTGCCCTGGGCGGTTGCTATTTGATGCATACATGCATCAGTTGATTGTACATGCTGGCGATAGAATTAAGTAGTATTTACTTGGTTCAAATAACATCCTTTGCATGTTTACGCTGAGTGAGTTTCCGATGACAATTCATATCACAGTATTATAATTAAACTTTTTGTATCACAAAATTTGTGAGCGAATCCTTCTTTCCAGTTCTTGATTTGCCGATGCCAGTTTTTGTATGCAGGCGCTGACATTCTTCATTTTAGAAACGGACTACAACGCCAACTTGTTAAATCTAAATACCCGAAAACCATTTCAACGTTCTGTGTATTCTATGCGAGGCTTACAAACCGACAAACGAAGCAATTGGGCTTAAACATATTTTTAAGTGATCATAAACAGTGTATGTACACGCTATAAAAAGTAGGGCAACCTGAACTTTCAATTTGGATAGGAAAAATAAGCGTTAACAGACTATTCAAAGACAGACATCTGATGAACACACCACCATTTATCTTTATCACCAATCTTAAACACAACGCATGGGATGCACGTGCACAACGCAGTAGCCCCCATACACGTGCATGGGGTGTCATTCTTGATTTTGACAGTTTTCAAGAATGTCGATAAATCGATATCACTGTAATTTTGACAATCATCTTCCATCACACAGTTGTTAGTGTTTGTAGTCGGGGTTTTGTTTGACAATGAAACTAGTATACATGCAAATTTCACGTCATACACCAATGATGTGAGTGAGTGAGTGACTTTGGTTTAACGCCGCTTTTAGCAATATTCCAGCAATATCACAGCGGGGACATCAGAAAAGGGCTTCACACATTTTTGCATGTGAGGAATAGAAACCGGGTCTTCGGCGTGACGAGCGAACGCTTTAACCACTAGGCTACCCCACCGCCCCTCATCTTTCAAGAGCGTTTACTCTACAAACAACTATGGTCCTAAAGAAGTGGTTATGCACTCTCAAAACATTCATTATTATCATATCAACACTGACTGACTCCGATAAATCTCCAAATTTTTTCAATCGTATAAATGAAAAATGAAGGCCCCCTACTTTTTATAAAGAGTATATAAAAAACTGGGGCCGGACGAGCGAAGAACGCTGTAGTGTCCATCGACAGAAGTTGTATGTAAGTAATAACGGTATTGAGGACCAAGTTATAGACTAAGCTATGCGATCTGCTTGGAGGTGTTGTTAAGTTTTAACTACCATCTGTTTCATGAAGCTACATATCAAATTATGTGTAATGTGTTTTGACGATCGTTGTAACTGAATAAGTATAAGCCCAGCTTTACATTTGAATAACATATTACTCAAAACAAGGATGGGTAAATTCGGTAATTAGAAAGCAACATTCCTGGTGACTTTCGATATAAGTGTCGTGAAATGGCACATCTGATATTTTTAATTCGAAGTCTAAATATCATATCATATGATTGTACGATAAGAATTATAAAGTTCAGTTTAACTTACATGAGCACCGGTGTGAAGAAACTTGTTAATCGCTCTCGAGGTGTTGAGCTATTTTTGCATACACGCGCCTTTGGTTTCTATACATAGACGTGGGGTATTTCCATAGTGTTACTATATATAAAGAAGGGTTTTCCAACGTGAGTGTCATCATCAGAAATAACGTCGCGGAAGGTGGGCACAAACAGTGAGTGATTGAGTGCGGTTTTAGGTTGTGTTTAGCATTACCACGATGGGGGGACACCGGACACATTGTACCGGGCTACCCGTGTGGGGATTCGAACACGGATCTTCGAGGTGACGAGTAAAAGCTTTAACTACAAGTATTCCCCAAAGCAAAATAGATAGTATGCGATTACATGTGTGAGTACGTGTGTGTGTGAGAGAGAGAGTGAGTGTGTGTGCCTCTTTATGTGTGTGAGTGAATGTGTGTCTGTGTGAGTATCTCTCTCTCTCTTTCTCTCTCTCTCTCTCTGTGAGTGTGTGTGTGTGAAGACAGTCAACAGGGATGTGGAGCTGAGGGAGGAAGAATCATAATTCGAAGACACAAATGTGGGATTCAAACCCACGACAAACGCATGTCTGTACAGTATATGCCGACGCTAAAGATGGCACTCAGTCATTCGTGTCCGTCCATTCAGGTATGTGAGCGGCTTTTGTATTGCACCGCTTTCAGTAATATCACGACGGGAGTCACGACAATACACACATTTTACTACGTCAAGAATCGACCCCTTCAATAACCAGTAGACGACCTCTCGTCGCTGAAGTAAAATCTCTTGTAGTAACACCGCTTGAAGTAGTGAATACTACTATCTGGTGAGTGATAACACGGTAGTCACGTGACATCAACGGGTGTTTCCGTGAAGTGTGTGTAGCTGCATGCAGCGAGAGGGAGAGAGGAAGGCATATGCATGCCTTGCTGCAAGACGATCAGTCACAACACTACGTGCCCGAACAACAGAAGGGAGACAACCCTGTTTGTTTATCTCCTAGTAACGTTGGAGTTGTTAGAAGACTCAATAGTTAATATTCCATCAGCAATGAATAAAATATTGACCTAGCCATAATTGTTCACATGACAAGTGAGTATATCCTATTTGTCCCCCAGCCCAGGGTTCCGTGAGTCCACTGCCGAACCCCCAGAAAAACAAGGTTCAGGAGACCTCAGGCATACAAGATGAAGGCCTCTGCAAGGTCTGTCTGGAGAAGACCAGTTGCGTCCTGTTTCTACCGTCTGCTCATCTGGTCATGGACTGCGCACCTGCTTTACGCAAATGTCACGTGTGTCGGGCATTCATACGTGGAACTGTGAGAGTTTACAATGAATGAGGATTTGTTGTGAATCTTCAACAAGCCTCATTAAAACTGACTCACAAAACCGTTATTTCAGAACGTTTGCGTAAATCCTTTAACATCTTTCGTGTATTAATCTTCAGGTTCATCAAAGTATTTTTGTGCATTTAATTATGAAATAAATGAAATAAATGTCTTCAGGTTGTGCCCTGGATGGTTGATATTTGATATATACATACATACATCAGTTGATTGTACATGCTGGCGATATAATCAAGTAGTATTTACTTGGTTCAAATAACATCGTTTGCATGTTTACAGCTTGTTCAACTTGACCTGATCAAGTGAATACTAATGCATTACGTGACCGTGCCACAACTGGTTGGCCCCCTTTTATAGTGAAGGGGTGCACCTTTGTCAGTTGATTGTCAACATGTCCGATCAGCTGAGACCAGATCGCCGTTTGACATCTCGTGTCGAGAAATCGTCAGCAATGTCCTAACTTAAAAAAAAAAAATAAGCTACAGACGGTTTAATGTTTCCGATGCGGGCTTTTAGGCAACGAGCAGAAGCAGCAGCAGCATCTTGTGTTTCCAGTGCAACCCCGGGCAGAATAGAACTGATACGAAGAAATCCGCAGAGGAGAGGTTTCTTGAAATTGGTGTAAACGGGTGGACTGATTGCTGCTTGGCGACTACTTGGACAGAAATATTTCAGTTGAACATGAAATAGAAAAAGTGATAATTGAACTGGATGTAGATGTAGAGAGTGACAGCGAGAGTGCATCGAATTGTGAAAATAACTGACGTCTGTACATTGTAAAGTTAGTAAACCAACCTAGATAGCATATGACTGTATGAACAATCCAATGTATGCATGATTCGCACGACTGACTGACTGAGTATGGTTTTACGCCGCTTTTAGCAATATTCCAGCAATATTACGGTGGGGGACACCATAAATGGGCTTCACACATTGTACCCATGTGGGGATTCGAACCCGGGTCTTCGGCGTGACGAGCCAACGCTTTAACCACTATCACCATGGTATAACTGTAAATCATTTTCATGTGGACTGACATCATTGTTTGAATCATTAGTGTCCTTACTGAGTGAGTTCAGTGACCCCTATGTTATTATTTGAGGTGACTTTAACGCGAGAACAGGCGAAGAACTAGATAGTGTCGACAACAGCATGTCTGAAGCACTTGGGGATGAAGACTACTGTGCTCTGTTTCATACAGTCTCCACAACACGTCGCTCCTGTGATAAAACTCTTAATCAAACCGGTCGTAAATTGCTAAATTGGTGTGCTATATTAAATATATTTATTATGAATGGTCGATGTGGACTCGATGCTGGCTTGGGTGACTTCACGTTCATAAGCCATTGTGGTAGAAGTGTCTTTGACTACGTCATTGCTTCTCCCGCTATCTTCAATGTCTGTCAACACTTCAACATCTTCTCTCGATCCGACTGTGATCATCTACCGCTAACATGTCAATTTCAGTTACGTGACCAGCCCGTGCTGCACGCTCAGGATAGTGATTCATCAAACATCCGAGATGATTACCGCTATGTATGGTGTGATGCTAACAGAGAACTTTTTAGAGAAAATCTATTGTCAGATAAAATTATTTCAATGTTTGATGAATGCCTAGATCGCATGTTCGATAATATTATTGAGTCTGTTGATTTATTTACTGATGCTATATGTGAAGCTGGTACATGTATGAAACGTAAATGTCGTGTTGGCACTGTAAATTCTCAGCCTTGGTGTGATTCTGAGTGGCTATTATCGCTCTGAGAGCGAGAGGCTTGTTGTGTGTTTTTAGACGATGTAGACTTGACGATACTCTTAAAGATTATCTAAGGGGGCAAAAATAAATTTTCTTCTGTTACGAGGATAAGAAGCGAACTTACCAAGATATAATGTCTATAGCTTTGAGAGATAATTTATATAATAGTAAGGCATTTTGGAAGTTATTAAAACGTTTTTCATCCACAGTCCCAGTTACCCCTAGTATTTCATTACAGGAGTGGCATGACTATTTTTGCAATATGTATATGACGCCTGGTAGATCGTCAGTTAGTGATAGTGTGGCCAATAGCTATGAGTCCAAGTTTACTGATAGTAATACCACTGCTATTCTTGACTCGCCAATCTCGGCTGATGAGATAATGGTGTGAATAGATGCACTCAAGTGTTCTAAATCAGCGGGGGATGATAAGCTTATTGCGGAATTCTTTAAGCACTTTTCGGATGTTATTATCTCATATCTTACTATTTTATTCAATATGCATTTTGATAAAGGTATATTCCCAGCTCAGTGGTCAATGGGTATAATAGTTCCTGTTCATAAAAAGGGTGATGTCAATAAGGTGTCCAATTACAGAGGGATTACAGTTCTCAGTGTCTTCAGTAAACTATATGTGTCGGTTATCAATAATAGGCTCAGGTTTTGGACTGATGCTTACTGCAAGATCTCTGAGTCGCAGGCAGGGTTCAGAGCTGGTTACTCGACTTTAGACAACATTTTCATTTTACAAACTATTATTAACAGAATTCTATCTAAGAAAGCGAAATTATATGCTTTTTGTAGATTTTTCAAAAGCGTTTGATTTGGTGAATAGGGCTAAATTATGGTCTGTATTAAATGAGAAGGGCGCGTCTACCAAAATGTGGAATTGTGTCCGATCCATCTATGATTGTGTCAAATCTTGCGTTAAATCAAATAATATGTTTTCTGAAATGTTCCAGTGTAATATTGGAGTGCGTCAAGGGTGTGTCTTAAGCCCCTTTCTATTTTATTTTTATAGATGAATTGGTTAGTGAAATTGAGTCATCTTGTTATCCTGGTATACAGATGCATCCAGAACTAACACAAGTATTTCTCTTGTTGTTCGCTGACGATGTAGTACTCCTCTCTGATACTATATGTGGCCTACAAAAGCGTATCAATGTTTTGGAAAAGTATTGTATTGAGTATGACCTTTCCGTTAATCTAGATAAATCCAAAATTGTTGTCTTTAGAAATGGAGGTAAGCTCTCTAAATATGAAAAGTGGTATTTGAATGGCATGAGAATAGATTGTGTCCCAGGGTATAAGTATTTGGGTGTTCTTCTTTCTCAAAGCTCGTCATGGCATAAACATTTTGATAATTCCATTCTACAATCTAAAAAGGCCCTCTATAGTATTATTAGGTCACTATCGAAGCTAAAACCTATTCGCGGTGACATTTTCTTCAGGATTTTTGATTAAAAAATCTCACAAATCCTACTTTATGGGGCTGAAGTCTGGGGCTTGGATTGTGATATTAGTTCACCAATCGAGAAAGTTCAAACTCTGGCTTGTAAATATCTGCTTTGTGTCAAGATATCAACCCCTAATCACATCGTTCGGGGTGAGTGTGGCAGATACCCTGTTTATGTTTATGCTTACAAACGCTGTATTAAATATTGGTATAAATTGTTGAATATGCCAGTATCTCGTCTGCCCAGAAAGTGCTACAACCTATTATTGTTAGATGCCAGCCATGGCAAAACAAATTGGGTATCAAAGCTTAAGTTATTACTTTATAATATGGGATTTGGATATATATGGGAAAGACAGTCTATTAGTAGCTTAAATTCCTTCCTGTCTGAATTTATGATCAGGGCTCAGCATATATCCCATCAAGAATGGCATAACTCGTTATCATCAAGTTCTAAAACTTATTCATATTCTCTTTTCAAGTGTAATCTATCTATGGAACCATATCTAAGTGTTATTAACGTTAGTAAATTTCGCATTGCACTCGCACAAGTAGTTTCGCTGTGGTTCCCATCAATTAAATATTGAGACAGGTAGATACACACAATAAAACCAAGACATCACAGGTTATGTAACATGTGCGACAATGGATATATAGAAAAACGAGTATCATTTCCTTTTAGTGTGTACTGCATACAGTTCTTTGCGCACACTATATATTCCTGCCAAGTTTTACATATACCCTTCTTTGTCAAACTACAATATATTAATGACCTACAACAATACCTTTGTCTTCAGAAATAAAGCAATGTTTGTCTATTATGCTGTAAGACACCGCCAATCATATATGGCAGCAAATATGTAATATTTGTATTATGGGCCGATGGCCTACATACATTCTGCGAATAAAGAATTGATATTTTAGGCCACCACACCGCCCATGTTTCGCACGAACGCAGCATTGATAACATCCTCTGCTCCCCTATTTTATGACGTTAACTCGACCTGCCGTTTGTGCCTTTTGACCTCCCGGGTCAGGCATATGTAGAATAGCTCAGGTCAAGCTGAACAAGCTGAACGTTTAGTGTGTTTCCGATTACAATTCATCTTACAGTGCTATAATTAAAGTTTTTGTTTCACAAAATTTGTGAACGAATCCCACTTTCCAGATCTTGATTTGCCAATGCCAGTTCTTTTGTGTGCAGATATTCAGCACGTCGCATCTTCATCTTAGAAAAGGACGACAACGCAAACGTGTTCAATTTCAATACCCGAAAACCATTTCAACCTTCTGTGTATTCTATGTGAGGCTTACAAACCGACTAACGAAGCTATTGGGCTTATAGATATTTATAAGTGGTCATAAACAGTGTATGTATGCCCTCAAAATGTAGGGGAAGCTAAATATAAGCGTTAACAAACTTTTCAAAGGAAGACATCTAATGTACGCACCACCATTTCTCTTTATCACCACCCCTAAACATGTTAATGAACTCTATGTATCTTAGCTATCCCTAAACACAACGGATGCACGTGCACAAGGCAGTAGCCCCATACACGTGCATGGGGTGTCATTCTTCATTTTGACGGCTTTCAAGAATGTCGATAAATCAGGCTTTACATTTGAATAACATGTTACTCAAAAGCAAGGATGGGTAAGTTCGATAATAAAAAAGCAACATTCCTGCTGACTTTCGACATAAGTGTCGTGAAATGACACATTTGATATTGTATTCGAAGTCTTAATATCATATCATATGATTGCACGATAGGTATAACGTTCAGTTTAACTTACCTAAGCACCGGCGTGAAGGTTCACTCCTTAATCGCTCTCCCGGTGTTGAGCTATTTTTGCATACACGCGCCTTTGGTTTTTATACATAGACGTAGGGGATTTCCATTGTGTTACTATATAAAGAAGGGGTTTTCCAACGTGAGTGTCATCAGAGTAAATAACGTTGCGGTAGGCGGGCAGAAACAGTGAGTGATTGAGTATGGTTTTAGGTCGTCTTTAGCATTATCACCATCGGAGGAGGGGGGAGAAGGGGAGAGAATCCCGAACACATTGTACCAGGCTACCCGTGTTGGGAATCGAACCCGGAACTTCTAGGTGACGAGTAAAAGCATGTGTGTGTCTCTTTCTCTACAGCATATACCGACGCTTTATGATACTTAGTGTCCTTCGTGTCATTTTAGTCCATTCAGATATGTGAGTGGGTTTTGTTTTGCACTGCTTTCAGTAATATTACGACGAGAGTCACCACAACAAACCGAAACATGAGTATCACTTGCTTGATAACGGTGTTAGTACCTACACCGAAACGTCGCACTCATTGCAATAAAGAAGTTGACTATCCATACAAATCTGTTTTCCTTCATGAGTATCATTAACAAACTTCAGACAATGACCTACTTTTCAGCCGATCCGATTTTTCTCGTGTGAAAGTGAAAAGAGATACTACAAACCACTACGGTTACACTGAATTCCAATTCTTTGTTTCATAAGAAAATAGCATTTACAAATGAATTTTAGTTATAAACTTTAATAAAATCGTATTTCTATATTTTATGCGAGGTTTAGGCAGCATGGCCTTAAGCCCGAGAGCCCCATCACTACTACACCTGGAAGCCCTCGCTCATTGCCCACTCTCTGTGCCGAGACTAATTAGTGCCAGTCACACCTGATTTCCCTGGCAGGTTTCGGGGATCACAGGAAACTGTCTAGTCGTACAAACAAGTGTCGTTAAGATATATGTTGAAAGAAATCAGGTGTGAATACATGTCGTGTATTGCAAGCTTTATGTAATTTTATTGCAAGTTTCTCTTGTAGACCTTTTGTCGGCTTGTACATTTTATCACAATATGCATACACATGTATTCTTTGTATGTAACAGATGAGACACACGTTAACAAATTCTCTCTCTTATATATATCTCTCATGTACTATAACGCTAGTCTGTGACTAACACAAATCACATTCATAGCATTGCACTTTATTTCATACAGATTTAATGCAGAAAACATACGTGACCATACAAACATACATATACAAAATGTATACTACATATTCCTTGCATATACATAAAACAAAGAGTCACGTGATAGGGCGCCGTCAAATTTCCCGAATAGAACGTTCGGTATCTCAACTGTTCAATGTAGTGGCTGGTCATATGTTATCTGCGACAAATCGTATTATGAGATACCTGTCAAAGAGGAAAGGACAGGTGACGGGGCGTGGGTGAAATTTCTGAAGAGCACGTTTGGTCACTCAGCAGCTTGGATAGAGATTGGTTATTGGCTATATCCTTGACCAATCGATATGCTGGGGTTCGGCTTTATCAACTCAAGCTATCATGTAACAGTTTGTGTATTGTAAACATACACACTGGTAACGATGTATGAAATATACACATAAGACAAATAGGTGTAGATAGTCACTTTGGCGAGTTTATTTGTCCTCATTTTAGTGTTTTTCGATAAGTAAAACAAAGCGATTGAAATCCAACCACTGAGTAGAGGTAGTATTTATTTTCATATACATTTTATGCACACAACTAGTACATAAAACATAATGGTTTGCTTTACATGTAAATATAATCTTCACCTTGATACGAATGACTATCCAAACTAGAGTACACGCATTACAGATTTCACGAGGTGACACTATACTGAATTATTATAGTGTATAAACTTGCAGTTGACACCCCCACCCCCAATATTTATTAAGGTGGGCGTGCCTATATCTTTACTGAATGCAAACGAGGTTCATAAGATTACAGATGTGCATGCATGTATAAACATCACAGAGAGGGGAGTCACTCCATAATATATAAAGCAAGATGTCCAATGATATAACAGCGCATCTGTCTATTTTACACTTGTCACGGGACAAACAAGGAAGTAACTACATATGCATTCTACAGGAGGCTGTTATTTCAAGGTCGAAAGAGGCGTTCAATTATCTCATTACTGTAATCTGCTTGAATGATTATACGCATGTGTATCGATACCGTAACTGATATACTATCCAGCTTTTATTGACGATGGATCAATAGAGACTGAGTTGATTGATAGACGACATAATTGCACCGGATTTGATAATTACACAGATCAAATACAAACGTTTTACAGAATGCTCATGTAAATTGCACAGAAAACTGACAATTCAAATCAACTTGAAACTTGCAACAGCTTGAACAAAAATGCTTGAAATACCTTTGTATGGCTTACATGTAATAACTTATGATATTACTTCTGTCCATGTGTGACAATGTTTTGAATTACCAACGTACTGTCTTTTGTAACAAACGTAGTAAAACATTTCATTGTTGTAATAACACTGACATGTATATATGTATTCGATGCAAAGGCGCGACTTATCACTTTATATTCGCTTAGGTAACATTACGAACTTTAGATTATGGAAAACAACTAGTTACAATTCAGTAAACTTCAAATTAGTAAGTTCAATTATGTTTAATCAGTTCGAGCTTGGATGTATAATTACTTGTGTTTATACATTATGTTTCAGTATATGAAACATGACAACGTAATGATGCCTAAAAAGTAAATTCAAACTATTCTATTGTGTTTGAATTCTTTGTATGTCCTTGAAATTTCGTATATTGTTTCCTATTTATTAGGTAGTTGAAGGAAATATAATTTCTAGTAACCTCTAAACCATTACATCTAATTGAATCAAGGTGCATACGAAGTATTTTAGTATCCATTCCAAAGGAAGAGTACCAGGCACTTACCTCTGTAAAAACATCATAATCCCCTTTCTCGCCGACATGCGTTCATTTGCTAAACGCTGTACAAGCCTATGATAATGATTAGCAATTGTTATCAAAACACTTTAAATACTTCTTCTGATTGACACTAAAGGTGGGATCTCTCGTAAGAAAGCTAACATTTGCTAGGTACTGCTAAATTGGTAGAAATAATATGTACAGTTCGATTTGTAAAAGTAGACCACACATGTGCGTCTCTCGCTAAATAAGAGGTGCTTTCTGTTGACGACTGTATGGGGCTCTCGCTGTGAGAAACTGCTAATTACCTGCCCCATAAACACGTCACTGGCTGTGAGGAGCTGATTAATTTGCCCCATATAAATATGGCATATATGCGTCTCTGGGCCTTAATGAGTTAACATATGCATGCCTTGCTGCACGACCATCAGTCACAATACTACATGCCCGAAGACCCGTGAAGGTCCGGGTTAGAATATTGATCTTCAGTAACCCATGCTTGTCGTAAGAGGCGATCGGGTGGTCAGGCTCGCTGACTTGGTTGACTTCACAACTGCGCAGACCGCCGCAATATAGCTGGAATATTGCTGAGTGTGGCGTAAAACTAAACTCACTCACTCACATGCTCGAACTACTGAAGGGAGACAACCCTGCGCAGTGTTCCCTTGCCGATGAAAAACAACTAAATTATTACTATGTATTATTATGTACATGTATGTATGTAAGTGTGTGTGTATGTGTGTGTGTGTATGTGTGCATGTGTGTATACACACACCTTAGTTGACCATATAGTGTACAAAAGATATCTGAAATCGGTTTTTAATGGTTTCATTTACTTTCCGTTATAAGTAGATGAAATTAAAGAGAAGATTAAATAACAACGTGTCTTGGATGCCTATAGTTGAACCTTCACTAGCACAGGTGGTGGGATATCATTAGAAAGAAGAACTTGTTATCCTGTGTCAGGTTTGATAGTCCAAGAGACACTCACCAATCCCGCTTCATCATCTCAGCTGCTATATCTTCCCAGCCTATGGTGCAGCTATCCTAGACTAAGGCTTAGTCTCTGAATATATATAACTTTGATAGTAACAAACAAGCCCATTTATATTGAAAAGGAGCCCTAAGGAGACCAGAGATTCAGAGACTAAGAACATCTGCATTGGGGCTACACGTGCTGGGGTCATTACCAATTAGAAGTCACATCATACAACCATCAGATAACGCTATAAGTGAAAGGCATATTTATTGGCCCTCCTGTTAAGCCCTGTCCTATCTCCATGCTGTCATCACCTCATGTGGGCCGGGTCAAGTGCCCCTACTGCCTAACATTTTACTGTTGGGAAACTTGCAGCCCACAATGTCACTTGGACACTAGATGACCAAGGTGCAAGATCTGTGATTCAGGAGGAACCCTTTCCCAAGATTTTGCTTGATTTGTCTCTTCAAGACCAGAAACTGTACACAAGGCCTCCACTATAGCTTCATGTCACCCAGTGTGCTTGTTAATTAAGAGTTGACAGATGAAAATGTGAGGCAAGATTCCAGACCACTGGTGAGGATGTTGGTCCGGCCAGCCATGGTAGTTAGATATGTTTACTTTGTAACCCGACCCCCAAAGTGAGTTAGTTTTCTTGCAGATGTTAACAGACCCTGAACCTGAGGAAATCTAGACTTGCTTTATTTAGGGCTTTAGCACTGCAGAGAGGTCCTCAAGATTTTCTTGGCAGTAGGGTTCTCTTCCACATAAATAATGTGGTTCAGGGACTGTGAGACAGACTGGAGAAAAGTGAAACCCGACCAAATACCAAGAATTGGGGACTATCTTTTATCTGGAGTATCTCGGTCGCTTGCAAAGAGTTTGTTGAACACTTCTTCTGCAAACTTGTCCCGTTCCTGATTCAGTAACTGTATTTCACTCAGAAGCTCTTGGCGCTCTGTTTCATTTGGTTCGATCTCTTCAGCCTGAGTCAAGTCCGCCTCGTTCAGATGCAGGCGCCTGAATGCCAACCTAATTTGACGTATATGCTCTTCATATTCTTCCCGACTGCACCTGGTTTTATGAGAATATACGTTCTGCAATTCTCTAAAGACGTTGAATCTGTGCTTCCTGACATCGTCTTCCTCGAGGGTATAGTCAATAAACGCTCTACACAAAAGAGTCAAATTCCAGTCGTCCACATTGCCAGTTTTAATCCTGTCATCATATTGTTTGCCTGTTGCCTTGGGTCTGTATTTTTTAAAAAACAATTTCCCTGAGGTTTGGTCCTGCCATGGATTACCCTCCCTCCGTTGCCAAAACAATTTAAACAGCCGACGTAGTTCAGGGATGATAGCCTTTTGCAAAATATATAATCCCTTGTAGTACAGGAGCTCTTCCTCTGGTATATTCTGTGGAGTCTGGAAAAGATGTAGAAACATAAATCAATAATATACACTCAACAAAACAATGATAAATTTTAAAATAAGAGTTCGGCTCTGATTGTCATTTTCAGGATATTTAATGATACCTTTAACAAATCCATTTTCAGTTCCAAACAATACATTGTGGTCAGTGTGTAACTTACAGCCATGTTTTTCACAAGGTGTCTTGACTGATTCACAAGGTGTCTTGACTGATTCACAAGGTGTCTTGACTGAAACCTGAAATGATAATATAGTGTCAGTGAACCGACAGTATCACAGTATCATCTTCCTGCTCATTATCATTATCGTCACCATCATTTCAAACATACACAGATTGATACACAGACACACGCAGACACAACACACACATACACAAACACACACTGACACATGCGCATATACAAACACACACACAGATTTACAGACAGCGACACCACGCACACATGCACACACAAACTCAAACACACATATATATATATATAAACACACAGACTTACAGACAGTGACACCACACACACAGACATATACATATAAACAAACACAGTCACCACACACACATTCACACACACACATGCATATATATAAACACACATATTTACACACAGCGACACCACACACATACACAGACAAACGCAAACACACACACACACACACACACACACACACACACAGACATATACATATACAATGCCGACCGGTCATTCCGCGCACCACACAAAATGACTGTATTACCCAAATTTACAAACGTCAGGAAATACTCTTTTCATCCGGCGGCCACATGAACAACGTTTAAAATCTACGTATCATCTGGCCGTCAGATTACACACGTTTAAAGGGGTGTTAAAATAAACCAACATTCAACTCTGCATTTACATGTATTTCACAGGTGTGTAAATCTGGCCATTGTTTTCATGTGTTTCCTAACATGTGTAACATATGTAAATGCTGTGATTGTAGGACATGCATTTCAATACCCTTGAAATCTCGTATGACCAAGGTTAGATTTGTCATATATTTAGTACATGCGTAAATGGTTGGAAATGGGTATATACATGTATTGTGTTACATGATTAGCAGTTCTTTAACATGATGTATTTCAATGGTTCTGTAATGTAACTGTCACATAGGGTTCGTTAACGCGTCCGACCACGCCATAATGTACTGAGATAATTAGAAACACATGGTGAAGTGATACCCATGACTGAGCACCACTAATAACGTGCGTGTCTTTCTTGATATACACATGGTGTCTGTTTAAAAGGTTCAAATATCGGGTCTATGGGCCAGAGCGATATGTATGTTAGGGAGTGTGCGTCTGTGCGAGGGAGAGGATGTGGCATGGGGTAGGCCTAGGGTGGGGTGGTGGCGGTGGGTCGGTGTTGGGGTACTGATAAGTCTTTCTGACCAGTAGGTAGTATCGTTTATACTTTTTGTAATGGAAATTACATAACAGTTTATATAACTGACCTTAGGTACACTTCTTATATACAAGGAGACACTGGTAATTACAATAAAACACAGACAGATGTGTTCACACAGACATGAACCGGTAGGTCCCTAATTTTAGTGCTCACTTGTATGAGTTATCCGACTGATCATCACTGAACAAATTTCCTTATCTATACTTTCATAAAAGATGATTACAATGTATTAATGATTTCCGGTAAATGTAAATGTGTGATTTTTGATTTGGAATACAGGTATTATCCCATACGGACGTATTCTCAAATTTCAGTTACCCGACGGAATATACTGTAGACATATTTTGTTCCCCGCCGTGATGCTGCTGGAATATTGCTAAAAGCGGCGTAAAACTAAACTCAGTCAGCCAGTCAGTCCATCTCTTGGGTAGACTATAGAAAATTGTATTGATTGCAATAAGTTCATAACTGAGCAGTTTCGATAATTATTGAAATCTTACAACCTGCCAGCATTTATGTTGCTCATGCGTTTTCTTTTTCGCTTTTGCTTTTTGCAGTGTGTCTAATTTGTTATACATTATATAATTATGTTAATCATTTTGGTATCTCAATATCATGGAATATACTGTGTACTTATTATTCTATCAAAGTACCGAAACGTATTATCTGTATGCTTTACCGTTATAGGGTGAAACTGTTAAAAGTACCTTCGTACAGAATTTCCAGGAAATAGAAACTGAAAATTACCAGATAAATGGAAAACTAAATTGGATAAAGACCGCAAACAATCATTATTTATATTCCTCTTTTTAAATTATCAGTGTGCAGATCATGTCACTAACATAAAAACTTAAGGATATATGGTGACAAATTTGGGTTCAATCTTGAATGTATAATAAATTTACCAATGTATATTCTTTAACAATATCAAGGAATGATGGGGTACGCTCGTGGTTAAAGCGTTCGCCTGTCAGGTCAAAAACCGGTGTTTGATGCCCGACATAGGCACATTAAGACTGAAAATATATTATTTTGATATAAGGCAAAGATCTTAATTTCAATTGAAAAAAAGAGACGAAGTAATTTGGAAGATTCACAGACTAACAACATCTATATTGGGGCTACATGTGCAGGAAGCATCTTCAATTATAAAATCACATTCCACAAACATCAGATAAAGGTTTAAATGACATATGGCATATTTATTGGTATCTTGCCAAGCTCTGTACTCTCTGAATGCAGTATAACCAGAGTGCTGTGGTCACTACCTCAGGTGGCCAAATTCAGCCATCCCATTACGTTACAGTATTTTCTTACAGACATATATATGGAAAATTAACTTTTATGGGTATGGAAAGAGTGTGTGGGGGTGGTGGGTGGGGGTGGGGTGGGACACGTGCAAAGTATTAATCAGCTGAGATTATCCTTCAAAAACTCATATGTACAACAATCACTTATCATTATGTGCAACCAAAGCATTGCAAAATGGCCATATTTCCAGACAGCATAACATCACCTTTGGCCGGAGTTCCATATATAATTTGACACCGAAAGCCTGTCAGTTAACGCAAAGGAAATAACCCTTGTGTTTTAAAATGATGCCTTAATCATAGTCACAATGAAGTGTAGGTTGCCATGCATTTTCTAGTCTGTCTCACAGTCCCTGAACCACATTATTTTCCTTACTGCTTAGTCTGTCTCACAGTCCCTGAACCACATTTCTTCCCCTACTGGCAAGCCCTCTCTGCAATGCTAAAGCCTTAAATGAAGCAAGTCTAGATCTCCTCAGGTCCGGGGTCTGTTAACATCTGCAAGAAACCTAACTCACTTTGGGGGTCGGGTTACAAAGTAAACATATCTAACTGCCATGGCTGGCCGGACTGTATCTCGTGTCTCCCTGGGGCTCCTTTTCATTTTAAATAGGTTTGTTTGTTACTATCAAAATTATATATATTCAGACACTAAGTGTTGGTCTATGTTTTTTTCCAATATGATGGAAATACTAATACATGTATTTACCAAATACAATACTAAAGGCGCCTTTCTTCAAGCAGTGACTTAAAGCCATACATAGCTAGACTTGCTTAGATGATACACTTCATATAAGGCATCATAGATATTTCACAAACCCTTATCCTCATTAGCTTATTGCCTCACCACTTGCAAATTAAGCGTTGGCAGATGTAAATGTTACTGGAGAAGTTGGTCCCGCCAGCTCTGGGTGTTTTGTATGGCACTCCATAACCCGAACCCAGCAGTGAGTTTTCCTAGAGACGGAAGGGGAAAAAATACCGTTCTGTGACTGTGATACAGACTGGGACAAGATATGGAAAACCAAAAGTTTGGACAACAAACCATTGTTTGGGTGTTTTAATTGTAAATATGATTCAAATAGCCTAACCTAGATTTCGATATCCTAAGAATGTACATTTGGTGGAAAATATACATTAATCCTGAGACAAGGACGAATGTTTATATATAATTAAAACATGTAACAGCACTAGTATCCATTTTGTCTTTTGTCTTCTACCCGTCAGAACTAGATTAACAACTAGTCACTGATATGAACATATGTTACAGAAAAAAAGTTCATAGTAAAAAAAATATATAATATAATGAAAAGGAGCCTTGAGACTTTCTCCTGAAGCTGTGGAAATCTAGAATTGCCACATTTTCTAGACTTACGTGGACTTGGATATATTTGCTTCAGGGTCTGTATGACAGACGACGTCCCAACATACGCTGTCACATGTGTCTCCAGGTCACGGAGAATCAGTGGTAAGAGGCCCGTATTGCAATTTTCGTGCGTTTGCCAGGCGCGTAGCAAGCCCTTTTTTGCGTATAACAAATGAAAAGTAAACAACTGCATTTCAGTGATGATTCACATATAATCATGACTGTAACAAAACATCCTCATACATGTCGATTGAAAAACAATCATCACCGAAAGTTATGATGTGAAGAATAACCTGTTTACTGTACATGGTAATGCCTTAATCAAAGAATACTGTAGTCAGTATGATTCATAGAGTTATTTCCACTTTTTAAATGGAACGTGTTTGTAGGTAGTTTTGGCAAGAATTAGAAGAAAAATTATTTTTTTAGCAAAGATCATGTGTAAGCTCGAGCTGTTTTTTTTATAATGGTAGCTACCTACGCCCCTGTTTGCACGTGTTGTTGACGCGGCATGGATGCCTTGTAACATCACTATTTGATTATGATTCACAAACACATGCCCATGATATGGTCGGAATCGTGCCAAGGATTAGCAGATATTTATCATGAAAACATGTTTTTATGTAGGTGGCTTGAAACTCGCTTTTACAAAGGCCTATAGGTTCGATCACAATACACTTCATTTACAGCTCCTCTTTTCTTAACATGCTCACGTCAAAACTGATTTAAATTCTAATCGCAGATTAAAGAATAACACAATAAATAGTATGCCAAATTATCGTTACCATGACAACCCTGTGAGAGTAATGCAGATGATACTGTCGGCCGTAAATTTTGATAAGTTGCTTCATCGCTATCAATAAACACTGGGTATCTATACAATTATATGTGTGATCAAAGGCCATATGATAGATTATGTGATCTCTGGTGTGATGGAGGAGAACTTGCGTCGCTAGTTTTCTCAATAATCTGAACACATGTATGTAGCGTGAAACCAGCAGATACCTTTAGAAGAAATTGTTTGCCCTACCTGTAACAACGATGTCCCGTGTCTATAAAAGGGATATAATGTGGGGATGAATGACATGTACTTTTATCTTGGCCCGTTTATGATGAAAAATGCTGCGATCTTTCACAATAATCCCTCTGGCTATCAGATTGAGGGTACGTTTTAAACATAACCGGTTTATAAAGTTCTTCGAACATTCTCCATATACGTCCGTATAGGAATGAAGACCTTAGAAGAGAAACTGCCATCAGTATTTTCCGCTCTCTTGAGTTTGCTGTTGGATTACATGAAAATTGCTGCCACATATGCCAACGAGAATTCAGAGAACGGAAAGCAAAAATCTCCCATCTCATCTCTTCCTAAGGCTAAGTGAAGGAGAACGAGAGACAACCAGTTGCAAAGAAGAGCGAAAGAACACAAAAGCGGAAGATCAAAGAGGAGGTAGCCAGTCAAGCAATCAAACCAAGGTAAGTGTAATCATTACGATAATTAATTATATTTGTTCTACCTAATTGTTTACAATGAAATAATTTTGTTTCTCAATTTATATCTTATATTCGTCTTCTTTATTGATAGGAGCGATGTCAGCTCTATTTCACCTACTGCACCGCAGCCATCTCCATCACTCCTGATAGAACCTATAACACCTCCTACAGAACCGAACTTCAATGACTTGCTTCCAACAGAGTCCTCCTTAAATGACTTGTGGTTGGATTACACTCAACTCATGGAAGACATTGAACAGCAAGAGAAACAACACATGGAGATGAATGTCGCAGGTGATTTAACAGCGGAAGATCCATATGAAGAAGAGAAACTTACTCCTCTTCAACGAAATTGTAGCATTTGTCGTCACAATAATATGCTGCGTGACGTGAGTTGCAATAGTGGACAAGTCCAGTGTCACGTGTGTTGTAATGAACTAATTGACTGTTTGTGTGACTATGATCTAGAGGGGATGATGGAAGACATGTTATCTAAAGATTTTGAAGGACATATCCTATCAGTGTAAATGCAGAGGTGTTTTAATCATGCTTTGTAACATGGTGATGATCATTATGTACTGTAACACACTTTTGTGAATTGTAATAGGGGATAGTGGTGGAATGAATAAATAATCAAACCATATGTGTTTTATGTTATATATATTGTTTAGTAAGTCACATTGTCCTCAGTACAACATGAGTTCCCAAAAGAAAAGCAGTGAGTTGAAACAGCAAAAAGCATTTGAAAAGTATTATTATGGCCCTCACAATCCGGGCGCTTATTATGGACCCTCCAAACATTAGAAAAGTATTATTATGGCCTTCACAATCCGGGCGCTTATTATGGACCCTCCAAACTGCGTGATGAATTGAAGAAAAAGAGTCACCATAGTATCAAGCTGAGGAAGGTGAAACGATTTGTGAACAACCAAGATGCTTATAGTTTACACAAACCAGTCAAACATAGATTGAAAGGATGAAGTAGGCACTGAATATCTCAATCTGGTGAAATCGGGAAATGTAAGACTTGAAATTGAATTCAAATCTGCTCTCACCAAAACTTTGACTTGTGTCATCATGAGTGAAAGAAACTCTATCATAGGATTTGATAAGGCAAGGAATGTGTATATCAAGTAATCATCAACATGAAAGCCTCAGAATTGCAATGTGCCATACAGTGTGCTTCAGTCTTACAGAGACATGTCTTGGGAGTGTATGCTAAAGATACTTTACCCACACTCACACCTTCACTGTTGAAGAAAGGAGTGGGTGTCATTGTGAATACAGACAGCAGACAAAAGAGAGGTCGCCACTGGGTGGCTATGTATTTCAAAGGAAATAGAGCAGAACTGTTTGATAGTTTAGCATAACCAGTTGATGCTGTATTTGATAGTTATCTAAAGTCTTATGTTAAATCTTACTTGCACAATGGTGAACGGATACAATCTGTAGATTCAAATGTATGTGGCTTCTATTGTTTGTATTATCTCTTATGTAAATGTAAAACCAACTGGAGTTTTCATCACTTTCTTCATCAATTTGATGTAAAGAACTTTATATGGAATGATATTGTATCTCAATATATTTGTCACTTCTTCAAATACTGTACACCTTCTTGTTTCAGTTGTCAATGATGCTATTGATGTATGTGAAAAAAAAATATATAAAAAGTAGTTTAGATCAAATGATGTTTTGTTGGGTATAAGAAATATATACAAATGCAAATATCATTTGCAAAAATATCCTGCATAGTAAGAAAGTAGAATAATACTAAACTGAAGTATCTAATGACTGACATTTCACTCTTGCCTGCTGACGGATAAGACGTAATTTTTCAACATGAGGAGAGCTTCTGGGGATATATTTGGCCCTACACCCATGTTCACAAAGTTTGGCAAGAGCAAGTCAACAAAAACACGTCAGAGAAAAATAATGGGATCGCTGAATAGACAGGTTACATATAACAAGAAGAAAAGAGGGCCAACTGTGAAGGGCAAAAAGAAGACTGCACTGAAAATACAACCTGTGTCCAATATCATTATGAAATGGACTAAAGCTGCCTTGAAACGTAACATGGCTCAAAGGTATAAAAAAAATGCTTCAGACCCTCTAATCACACACTTGTGTTACATCACTATGGAGCTTACTACCACCTGTCCAGACTGTGACAAGAGATTTATGCGAAAAGATAATTTACAAAGACATCAGAAGCAGATGCATATGCATGGATCAATTCAAGAGTTACATCCTCCTCTTCCTCAGGATAAACAACTTCCTTCTCCTCCTCCTCAGGATAAACATCTTTCTCCGCCTCAGGATAAACAACTTCCTCCTCCTCAGGAGGAGCACAAGCAGCACGAACGATTCAAATATCTGATTCCCTCCAATGGCATCATCGTCAGACCCAGTGGATGTGGAAAGTCGGTGTTTGTCTTCAAACATATTAAGACGTGGATTCATTCAACCTCTACTTGACTGTATAGTCTGGTGTTATACTGTGTGGCAACCTCTTTACGATAGCATTCTTCAAACTTTACCCCAAAGTACGTTTTGTGAAAGGAATACCTTACAATATCGAAGATGAAAACTACTTTGATGCCCACAACCAGAACCTGATGGTGTTGGATGATTTTCTGTCTGAAGCAAAGAACGATAAGCGGATTTCCCGTCTGTTTACTCAAACCTCCCACCAAAAAAATGTTATTATCTTTTTGGTATTGCAAAACCTCTTCCCAAGAGGTAAGGAATCTCGTGACATTGCTCCAAATTCACATTATGTAACACTTTTCAATTCACCAGTGGACAGACAGCAGGTGACGTGATTTGCCAGAAGGATATTTCCTGATGACATTAGTAGATTTATGACTCTTTATGAAAAGGCTGTTGAAACACCTTATGGACACCTCACAGTGGATCTCAAACCTAGTACAAGTGAAAAGAATAGACTCCATGTCAATCTCTTGAAAACCAACCTCTATACATCTGATCAACAGAGTGGTTTGCAACAAGAACAGGTAAAAGAGGTCTCTCCAGTAATAGACGTTCAGACAGCTTCCGACATTTGTGCTGATCACACATCCAAAGAAAGATCTCTTAGCTTTGACAACGACGTTGAAACAGCATCCATCTCGAGTGACGACACAGGACCTTTCACAATGGCCACTGCGTGTACCGACTGCGGCGTATTGATAGACAAAATGCTTGATCTACAGCGACATATCAAAACATGGTGTCCAGCAAACACCAGTTTGAAATCCAAGAGGAAACGTCTCAGATATGATAGTGACAACAACAGTGAAGGCGAGGAACAACTTCCTGTACAGAAAGGAGGAGGTTCTGCTGGAACACAATGTCGTGGGAAGCCTTCAAACACTGACATGGAGGAGTGGCAAAATGTGGGTTTACAACGCATCTGGAATCGTGTGTACAACATCAACCATGACGTGATGAAACTCAAAAGGAAAAAGTACAGACAACAGGGTCGAACAGAAGATTGGATTGACAGAAAAATGAAACAGATATGGGGAAATGAATTGGCCAATAGCCTT